ATATCACCCAAAGCAACATATGTATCCCAGTTTCCCGGACAGGGTTTTCATTCACTCATGTCGTCATCATCGTGCAGCGAGATACGTTGAATCGAACTTCGCTGATCGCTGCCAAGCTCATAACGTAGTCAAAGCAAGTGACAAATTAAAATATAGATAGTGATTGGATCACCGCTTTCAACAAGAGTGGTCGTTGAGCGCAACACCACATGATGTTTTCTTGTATCAAACCACTGAACACTAGTGCGGATCACCCAAATTGCCACGAATATATATGAATTGCTGGTCTGTATCCATTATGATATTGCTGTTTTTTCCATGAAAGTAACCTAATCCGTCTGCTAACTGGTTGTACATTTTTCTTCAAATAAAAAAGAGTTTTCTGAATATCGATTGCCTTGAATTGCTTTTTATTAATCTGTTTGTGTTGTTTAGGAAAATATGGATTACTACCGTGCCTAATGCAACTAAATTCATTTTCCTCCCACAGGTCTGATTCCACGAAGTTACAGAACCAAGAGGGTATGTTTCACCACGTCATGAATTTTCAGCATGTTGTTCTTTCTCTGAATATTTATAAGTTGCTAATGGACTAATGTCTTGTTCGTTGTTATCTTACAATTATCGAAACCATATAATGTGGTGATTACGGGTAAATTGAGTTTCGTAGCTTTTCGTTGCCATACTTGAAATCTTAACATTCCGCTTGAATTTGATTTGCAGGAATATTTCTTGCAGATGACATCAAACTCTGCACAAAACAACGTCGAAAATCCCGGTTGCAGCCTACACGTATTGGTGAGTGTCCCACCAGTTTCTTCCGTACTGTTTGCTATTGGATGTTCCTCTAATCACTTGTGTGCTGAATAATTCTCATTCGTGGTTTTCATCATATTCGCTTGCTTGTTTTACCTCATCTTTCTTTCCCCAGTCGAGGATACTTATCCCTATACCTTTGCGCTAATGGGTAGGTTGAGAACTGTTATCTGTTCTGCATTGCAAACTTTTTCGCCGTTGCGACACTTTTGTTAAGAGTTCTTTGATCTGCGTTTTTTCAGCAATTCTAGATCAAGTGAAAGTGTGATCATCAATCAGACATACTATTTACGACCGATACACGACCCAGATGAAAGCTTGCTTTTCTGCCTGTTTGGTGTTTGTATACTGACGTTGCTTTTCATTCAGTTCTTTGTCAACGGGTTCGGCTGTTTTGCTGTCGTTGCTGCTCGAAATCATATGTCATGTTCCTATGGGTTATCATGACCCGCTCGTTTGAAACCTTTTGCCTTGCTTGGAATTTTCCTTTTCCGATATCTCGTTGACTGGTTTTCTTTCTCGCTGTTTTCTATCATGAGATTCAAAGCATGTTTTTCCGAAGTTTTGGTCCGTTTGTGGGCTTGGCTGGGTTCACATCTTCTGATTCCCATGCCTCATGAGAACGTTTCGACTTATTCTTGCCTCGGCGTGGCCCTGGTTTCAATCAACAAAGCTACCATCATATCTGATCGATCCCTGGCATGTGTAGCTGTCGCACGGTTCGGGTCATTTGTCTTCGATTTTTGTGTTTGTCGGGCATTCCTTTATTACGTGTTCATTTATTACCCCGATTTTAATGCTTGAATTATCGTATTTCTTTTCCAGGTAAGTGCAACGAGTGTAAAGAGAATGCTGCCTCTGGTTGTGAGTTGTGTTTGGCGAAGCGTCGTCGGTTCTTATCCAGTTCTCTCTCAAACACGGCGATGAATGATCTCAAATTTGTGGACGTCGCGAACAGTCTGGATTCCGATCAAGAATGTGGACCGGCTGGGGGTCCAACAGTCCGCAAACAGAACCAGATTCCCACTCCTCCCGGTTCAAAAACTGATGAGAAAAAGGAGGAGTCAGATACACGTGAGGTATCAGAGGAGATATCTGAGGAGGTTTATGTTACTCCAGCGCCATACATTGATCACGAATACTCGCACTGTCACGCACAGCTTCGTCGACCTGACGAGATCAGACTGGTTAACAACTTCAATGAACTGTATTGCGCTGAGGCTGTGAAGCGCCTTTCTAAAGGTAGATCCTTTTCAAAACGTGACAAGAATGGCCACAACCGCACCCGATTGTTTCTAACCCCTTACGATGAGAGTGATGACGACGCAGCAGATGATGCTTTCAGTTCACAAGACCAGGGAACATTCAGTGATGAATACAGTGATATTTCCGAAGATGTTGAATTTCGCACTGATGAAGTGTCCGAAGTGACAGGATATCAAAAACGTCGCCGTGCTTTTCGGCGATCGTTTCGCACACTAGGTCCGAACTTGGTTGAGAATGCTTTTCGCCCTCGAGATGGCACTCGAAGACGGTCCAGTAAACATAGTTCTCGTGCTCGCGGTAGACGAAGATACAGCGTTTGTCACTCGAGTTCATCTGGCCCAGGTGTGACAAGGAGATCAAAACGAGTTATTCGTGCACCGAAACGTCCCTATGATGATTTTGAGGACCCCTTTTCAATTGAAGGCGAAGAATTGAATGGATTTGTCACTAGAACAGCCGATAAAATTGATGACATTTACGCAGCGGGTGCCCAGGCGGACTCTGCTTCTCAAAATCGGCCGCAGACACATTTGAATATGGAAAGTGTGAATGGTGAAGAGTGGAGTGCAGGTTCCGTCCGTGGACGTCGAGGTCGGAAAAGAGGAAGAAGGGGTCGACGATCAAATCTGTTATATACTGTCAAAGACGGCGAATCAAACCACCTAAGCTTACCGTCCGATCAATCTTATTCGACCTCAGATGAAGATGAAGAACTCAGATATCTACGTATAGCTCGCCGACGCCAACAAATGGAAGACAGCACGGAACATGATGAAGTAAGCTCAGCTGCTTCATCCGGTTCACCGAATTCGAACACCAACTTTAAAGGTGCCAAAAAACGTGCTGAAAATTTGCCCTATAAAGTCCCTTCTGGACGCAATCCGCGAGGAACTAACGGTACTCGGACGACTCCTTTAGAGATGACTACTGTTTGGGGACAATCGCGTTGGGCCATGGCTCAAAAGTTTTCCGCTCAATCGTGGCCTGATTGCACCCAAGTCGATTCGGAACAAGATGATATGCTCGAAGAATCGGCATCTGGTGTGGACGGAAATGGTGAGGATCTGGACGAATGTGATGTAGAAGAGATTCGTCAAGCAGACCCATCCAAAGCCGGGTGAGTAACTTGTCTAATTTCGTATAATTGGATTATTGATAATTGTGACCCCTTGAGGCTGAATGCAATCATCAAATATCCTATGAGTGCTTCTGTGATTTCCTCGATTAAATGAACCTTCCATTTATCTTATTTTTACACCTTTCGTCACAGCGAACGTACCACCGTTGAGGCTGCACAGATTCTACTTGGGATTAGTCAAATGCAGAGTTTTCGTCGTCAGTCAGGATACCTCAGTTTGGATTCGAGTGGAACCAGCGGTAGTTTGACAATCGATACTTCTGAACCTGTCAAAAATACCGAATCAAATTGTTCAGAAGCTCTTCCCATGACGGATGAAGTATTGCTGGATCAAAACGGTTCAACCACTTTCCACTGTTCTTCTCCCTCTCAGAAATGAATTCAACTATAATTTCCAAGAATCATTAGCAATTCATATGGATTTATTCATCTTGTTTTTGTGGAGCGAACAGACTTCCCCCCGCATTTCTAGTCCAAAGCCCACTAAAGGGTAACGTTGCATGCTCTCCATGACCATAGACGCGTCACATTTTCTATCGATTTTCTTACCTTATCCCCGAGTCACTCCGAACTTCAACTGTTTAACTTGTCTCTAGTTTAGTTCATCTCTCTGACGGCACAGTCCATGCCTATCTTATCTCTAAGCGCATTCGGCGCGCCTTAATCCAATGATACTTCAGATCCGTTGCGAAAGGAACTAGGTATTTATCCTAGTTTCTAGTTACTGACCTTTGTTCGATTTGTGTTATTGTGTATGAATTCATGTGCAAAATCCATCCACCGAGTGCAAGGATTCAGTATTGCTGTCTAAAGCTCCCTTTTGCCTAATTCTATTCTCTTTCAAATCTACACTTCCATAATGTGCAAACCCCTTTCCCTGAAAAGGGTAAATGCGTGCAGTATTATTTTTGGCAAATCAGTGCAATTTTTTGTTCCTCTTTCCTTGCCTCTTACGCATTGTGTGGTTGGCATTCTCTTCTCCCACACAATTTTGTAACTCTGTCATTTTTTCAGGGCCTCCATCCGTTCGTCTCAGTATTGCCCCCTACTCCGAAGATGATGTTCTTTGCATACTCGATAGAGCAGAAACTCGTTTGATTTGCTCTTTATCACTCTCCGCGTATCTTATTTTACCGTTCAGTACTGTTGCTTTTTTGTATACGCATTTGACCTTTGTATTGTTTCAGTTCATTTGTTTTTACTCCATACCCATTCAGTACGCCTTGGCTGTTAGTACCCACGGTCCCGCGGTCGCACTCGTCGGACTGTGTTGTGACTATCGCTAGGAACTGAATGCAGTATTGATTGTACAGTGTTAGCATGAAATGATTTCATCTCATTATTTCTCTTGTTTATAATGCAATTGATTGCGGATAGTAGCTATCTTTCATTTGTGTCTCCCATTTACCCTGGTAACCATCACCCGTAGAATTTCAGGTGGTAAAATCGGAGGTTGGTAATGGGTGTACCCCCATACCGCCAAATACCACATCAATAGGATGTCTATTGCAGTTAGTCGGTTTTACTAACGATGTCTCGGCAAAACCACTTTCACGTGACTATCAGGGACAATTAAATGAAGATTTACTCAGTGTGCGTATCTATCAAGTTGCCATCAGACCGGTGCTCAAATGTAGCGGTGGAACTTAGCCCACAAGAGCAACGGACATCCATAACTAGGCATTTTTGGAGTTGTCCGTTGCTACGCATCATTTTGAAAATTCAATGACCAGACGGGAATTCAAGCAGGAAAGTCAGACCGCACTATTTTGAACTAGCAGTTGTCATCGTTGCTCCAAAACCCGCCTTCATTGATTTCGTCATTTTTGTCGGCGACCTAAAAAGGAATTTACGGAACGCACCCTTCTCTTAACACCTTACATGGCGTTATACTGCCTCCTGGGAGGCCAAACGAAAATTTGAATTAGCACCATCAAACCAAATATGTCAAACTTGTGTCTAATCTATTCACGAGCAGCGCACATAGAGCTGTAACTGGATGTCCTTTTGTGCCGATCCTCTTGCGCAGGCCATCCTTCGAGCCAGTTCATCTTCAAACGGTGTGTAGTTGCGTAAAGAGAAAAGTACGCGTATGGCTATCAAGATAACGAAATAAGAACGAGAGACATCATGAAACGTAAACGACGGTTGTATTGAGGAAGCCTGTAGAGCCCAATTGGAGGTAAACGGGTGCAGTGTGGGAAGGAACGTGGTGACCATGTCGGTTGTGTTGTAGTAGTACCTAAAATCGTCCACAAAAAGCAAGGTGTGTGCCTGGAAGGCATGTTGCTGCGGTTGACTGGTCCACAGCTGCTTGGTTTGAGAAGGTTTGCGTGTTTGATGGCTATTTCACAAATCAATTTTTTATTACACACTATCGAGTGTAGTAAAACCGCTGTGTCCAATAGTCCTTGGACAATGTTCTTGAATGCATGAACGAAACCAGTTTGTTTAGTCGGCGTCTCAAGTTAATGCCGTAGATTCTGCTACTAATCTCGTTTATTTACTACTGTCTACTCCATCGATTTCCAAACAAGGACCGGATCGAAAACTGTCGCACTTAATTGTACCGTAACGGTTGTATCAACTGGGGTTGGCACTGTGCTTTGGGGACACAATGTTTCACAGTTTTGAGGAGGATGATTAGTGTGGTATGTTACGGGTGCGGTATGGGTTGCCTAAATGCTACTGCACGCAAACTACGAGAAGAAAAAAACTAAAAATGTAAGGTTAGTAAGATGTAAAGTAGGGCAACGCTGTCGGACATTTATGTTAGCATGATTAATTTGATGAATCGAATCGTCTCGACTGAAGTCGATCAAGCGGAGGCAAAGAGGCGAGCTGTGGTATTCACAGAGAACGCGCCCGAGTATAGTAGGGTTGAAACTGTGGTAGTGGAAAAGCGTCGTTTGCGGCAAGGAATGCTGATATTGACTAAAAAAATTAGGGCAGACATGAAAGATGGTCACCATTCTGTAGAACGGCTAAACTGTGCATCGCAGGAGAGAAATTAAACGAAAGGAAGGGTTTCTAGGTGTTGCAGGTAGCCATAGCTAAATGGTTCGTGAACAAACTGGAAACTATAAAGACCGGATTAGTGAAGCATACGCTACGATACTCGTTTGTCCTGGTGGGTCCTACACAGGACATGGATGTAGTCGGATTACAAATGCTATTCCTCGATGTAACTTCGCTATTCACTAATGTTCCTATCCAAGAAACTTAGCGGATTACACCCAAATGAATGATATCAGTGTCGGTATCCTGATTGAGGACTTAAAGCAGTTTTATTTCAGTTCAGATTCAGCGATACCACTTATCGTCAGAGGAACAGCGTTGCGATGGGCTCCACACTAGGATCGTTGTTTGAGGACGTCTTCATGACAACGCTAGAAAGCAACGCCCTCAATGCTGCTATCGAAAAATACAAGCTATACAAAAGGTATGCCGACGACAAACTGTGTCTCATGGACGAGAATATTGATTCCAATGAGTTACTGGCAGCATTCAACTGCGCGCGTCGAAACATATATATATATATATTACAATAAGTAGTATGTGAATGACTGGACAAAATTTCCCTGGAAGCACGCGACCGGTTTCGCGGTTCCTGCCGCTCGTCAGGCATGCGAATCCGGTAATCTTTTGCCAGTTCATTCATATGCTAATCTGCTCGGCTGATACAGTTCAGAATTAAATAGAATTCCTGCGCTAGATCTTCCAACAAAATGGATACCCGGATCAATTTGTGGGTATCATATTAAAACGAGGGGAAAATTGTTGGAGTGGAAGATAAACCAGTGTAAATAAGACTGCCACTTACAAGTGACAATATGACGGAAATAATTACTCGAACGTTGACAACAACAATCAGTCAAAATTTCCGTGCAGCGAAATTGCGTGCCACATTGACATTCAAACTGGCCCTCAGGCAGCAGCTCAAAGATAACGAACGTTCCTGTTTCTGCGATTTCACTTGGCGCTTATTCTTCCACTTGTTCCTGCGGAACAACGAGTATGGTCGCACGAGCAGACGCTTGACTCATCTGGCTTGGTTGCACACTGGAGTGACAAAGTCAGTTACGAGCGCAATCTGAGTCAGGGCATTTAGTTGACTTGACCTGAGCGTTTAGTCCTCTATACCAAGTTTGTGAACAAAAATCTAAGCGGATTAAAACATCACATCCTGACGACAGCGGAAGCGTTCACAATTCACCTTGATGTGGGCAAAAACAATTTGTGAAGACATTGTCCTATATGACCCTCCACCCACCCATCTCAATCTCCGGTAAATCCGGATTAAACACCGCACCGGAAACAGTTGACATTATATATACTGAAAATTTCAATGGGGATATTTCAAGAAATATATATTCCCTCAAGTTTGTTATCTTCACTTATTGTAAGTAATATCTCCGCCCTCCCGTATTTTATCCGAGTTAGATAAATTGTTATGTACTAGCCAAAGAAGATGAATCACTGAAAACATGTCTTGTTCGCTACATTATGTTATCAAAAATCGTACTTTGGTGATATCATCAAATGGATGATCCAAAAATATTTATTTCTAACCGGAAACTCAATCGTTTCTTAGAGGGTGAGAAATGAGGAAGAACCAGTTGATTTCAGTTCTTTAACCTTAAACACTTTCGTGCGGCAGTTAGGGTTACTGTCCCCTGGTTGTCAATTTAGAAAAAGTTGAAGGAACATCGGAATGGTGCATGTCGTTTCGAGATGAGAATAGAGAATTCATGAAGACGAAGTTTGTAAGGACTGATTAGATACACAAGCACCGGTTTCTTCTTAGTGCAATTTGATCCGGTCTTATGCATTCACCGGTTCGCGTACTCACTCATAGTTCGGTTGTACTGTTCTGACTGTTCGCTTACCTTTGTTGACCGTTCTGTCCTCAAGTCATCGATTGTGATGATTGCTTTGTTGATCATATGGTCTTTTGCGGAACGTATCATCGTGATGACCTGTGTAATGCGCTGAACTCTCCTGAACATGGGCTAATGTTTACGGTCTATCTGTATTTCCTTCACAGATTCAGCTGATAAGCTCGATTTACTTTCACTGCACTAATAATGATTAATCGGGTGTCAAGATGCTCATATGGGGATTTAATAAAAAGACACGTCACATTCATGAACACAGCAAAATGAGCGTGTCCACTTTACTCGTAGTGACTTCGCACGTTCTGCACATAAACGTTCTATGGATCTACAATAGTGACACATATCGTACTCTAAAATCGCCATGATGAGATGCCGTCTTTCCTTAGTCTTGAATGTTTTTTGACAATTCGATCAGCTTATTTGGACCAGACTGAACAGTAGATATTTGTGTTAACCAATCTTATAAGATTGACGTCAGGGAAAATCGATATCTGGAGGGAGTTCAACACAGCAGCACATTTCGCTTGGCGACATTTGTTGTTCCCAAAGCTTCTCCTATTTGTATCTATATACATATATTGTTCGATCAGATGAGTGGTTCACAACCCCCAGCTTATTAAAAGTTGAGCTTCAACATGAAGAGTTATTTCCCATTGTGAACGACATGAAAGAATTCAGTGTTCAGTCAGCACGGCGATCGATTGCATAAATAAGACAAAAACCGATACAAAAGCCTTTACAATCGATCAATACGCATTGCCCCCGCTATTGGTGCAGCATGGTAAACTACACGAGCGTGGTCGTGTACCAATCTGTTGCTATACCGGGAGCATTGGGGAGTGAAGGTAGGTCCCCGAGAAAAACGCGTTTTATATTGATTGGAACAATTCGAAAAATGCTGCTGCGTCTATTCAATCACAGTCGTATTTGTCGCTCCTGAAACAGCCTACCCGAGAAGAGACATTATGACACTCAAGTGATTGGTGCGTTAGCATACACTATATTTCCATTTCACATATCTGTACCGAAACCCAGCTTATGTTATCATTGTTGTTGCGCTGGTACCATGATCATCCTCAAGCCGGTGTGCTANTTACGTTGGCGTTCCCATTTTTGTATGTATGACGCCGAGTTGAATCGTATATAATTTTGATCGGTATCATTTTTTTGTTACTCGCGCTTATGTGAGATCAACAAAAGGAGTGATCACGGAAACACGTCGCTCACTCGAAATAATCGTGATCATAAACTCCTGAGTAAGATAAGCCTGATGTTCAGCCGGACGACAACCAAGGTGCACTGTTTTTTTTCGTTCGTGGTCTACCAATGTATATATATATATATATATATATATATATATATACATTGGTAGACCACGAACGAAAAAAAACAGTGCACCTTGGTTGTCGTCCGGCTGAACATCAGGCTTATCTTACTCAGGAGTTTATGATCACGATTAT